TTTAATTAAGAACCAAAATTTAATAGTATTAATGCCCCTTTATATGCAAGCTACAGTGCCACATTTCGTTTCTTAAACTTTACCCATTGTGAGATATTGTTTAATATTTCAGAACAGAAAATAAAGAAATTAAACAAATTAGATGCCAACACACATTCGCACGCGAATTTTTCCCCGTTATTGACTTTTTTGAGGGGTTCAGGAGGTCTCCAAATGTGTAGATTTGCAAAAAAAAAACTTGGAGGGTCAAATTTGACATGATTCCAATACTTTTCCGTTTTATATACATAACAAGTTGGTAAGTGAAAAGGAGTCGGAGTCGGCAGATTTTTTGACGACTTTGGCTAAAACATCAAAACTCCACGACTCCGACTTTGACTCCACAGCCCTGGTTCAAAAAAAATAGGAACTTGCATTCCAAATATTTATATTATAGCTGACTGTATAATTATTTTCGTTATCATCAATTTCTGATCACATATTTTTGGTTATTTACTTACAAATTGCATCATATTATTTTTCTGATTTCTCATTTATATTATTGAATTCAAATTATTTTCTTTTTTCTTACAGACAATTTTTTATCTATTTTACATTAATATTTTAATAGGTTAATGTAATTAATTGTACAAATTAATATAATAATTAAAATTGCTTACTATAACATACTTAACAATGAAATTTACTTTTTGAAAATATTATTTTTATAATCTAATTATATATGCATATATAAATCATCTTATTGCATATGTTAAATTTTTCAGCATTAAGAAGAACTATGGTCCGAGCACATCGCCAAGCTTGGGCGTGGCAGGATGAATGGGTTGGGTTGACATTAGAGGACATCAGGCGTTTAGAAAAAGAAACTCAGGAAGAGTTGGCTAAGACAATGTCTGCCAACAAGTGTTTAGAGCAGGACGACAACCCATGCCAATCAAGTGGTGCCTTAACAAGAGAAGAATCAAATTCTGAGACTACCTCTGATTTTGAAAATGAAATTGATGCAGAAATGGAGAGCATTAAGAAAGTTTCCAATTCTTCTTTTCATTTAAGCTCTCAAGACAAGACATTAAGTATGTAATGTTGTATTGCATTTGCTTAAAAAATAAATTAATTAAATTAATAACTTTGTAGCAAAAACGAAACAGATTTAATTATGATCCTTTTATTTATTTTTTTCAGGAGCTTCTTGCTTAGACTTACAAATGGGAAATCTGATTATGGAAACTATTGTGCAGAGTTCAGATCTTAGTTCAGATGATGAATATTTTGATGCTGAAGGTATTTTATTTCTGAATCTAAAAAATTAATTGCCAAAAATGCATTAGATTATAGCATTTAATAATTAAATGGAATTATTTTTCATTTACACTTTCTTCATTATAAGCACTAAGATATGTCCATTAAAGGTTTGGGTATATCCAAATTGTACTGCAAATAATGAAAAACGGAAATTTAAACATATCTAGATCACTCATGAAAATTTCTGAAGATCTGATCCAGATATGAATTTAGGTTTTTCAGAATAATGGGCAGTCTTAGCTACTACTTATGACTTTAATTTTTTCTTTAAAACATCTACAAAATATACACTTAGTGCACATTTTAAGCTTGTGCCTTTTGTGTGCACATCTAAACTTTAAGCCAGTTTCTGAATTTGTCTTAAAAAAAATGTTGAGAATATAAATAACTGATGTTACAATATATTTCTTAATATTAATTGTTCAATGCAGTTTTGCTTGACTTTGGAGCAAGCATTGCTATTGGTATTGCAATATAAATGTAAATCTAAAGGAAATTTATATTTTATACTGAAATATTAAAAGTTTATATTCAGAAATATTTTCTAATCTAAAAATTTAAGTAATTTCTTTAAAGCATTTTTTTTAAATATCCATTAAAGAAGAAATTATTATTTTGTTACAATGCTGAAACTACATTGGAAATACTAAAAGTTCTTAGCAATAAACTATAGACAAAATTGTGTGCACTCTGTATTATAATAAAATTTTAATACTTCCATTCTTGATAGTTATTATTACATATTTTTAAGATACATTTGATTTAAATTTTTGCAATAGTGAACAAACTTTTTCTAATTGGTCCATTATATCAAGGGCCTACTGTATATTTTTCAATGAGATACATAATAATTTTATGCACTTTTGTTCAAAAATAATGACTTTGTATTGATTTTTAAACAAATAAATCTGAAGTCTATAGCTTTTTATTGAGAAAAAGTTTCCATTTTTTTTCCACTTTCATTGCAACTAAGGATTCTAATTTTTTAAAATTTATTACTTTATTCGTCTTGAAGTGATTTTATTAAAAGTGATTTATATTTATTGATACTTTCTCCTTGAATTTGATATTGATTATTAATTGGAATTTAATTAAACATTTAATTGGAAACATTTGTCTTAGTAAATAACTTTGCTTGGAGAAAATTATTAGTTTGTTTTGTTAGATTCTTTATTGTTGTTGATAAAAAAAAATAATGGTTTATTGAAGTATAAAATGATATAAGCATTACCATTGTTTGATACAGGACCGGCCATCTGGGGGGTGCGGCGGATGCTACGCACCGGGGCCCCGCGATTGAGGGGGCCCAACATTATCAAGAACTAAAATAATGTACTCTTGCACACGAAAACTTGACAATATTCCTATTGTTGTCAGTATGACGAAAAGTATATTTTATTGTAAACATTATTATTGTAGATCTCTGAATTTCGACAATCTTCAAACTAATTCTTGATGATGCGAGTGTTTAGTTTTTGTTATTTGATTCTGGGAACTCCCGAGGATCCCCACCTAAATTGGACTTTTTAGAAAAAAATCTCAATACCATATAGCCCGCGTTAAGAAATGAAAATAATACTGTGGCCGTCGGCCATATAAAATTATATGTATATTTGTATATAGTCGTAGTTTTAATGTTTCTTTTATAATTTCTTCTATTTTTGTCTGTCTTACTTCTGGAACTTTCTGGTGACCGTTATTGTCTCCGGGTAGGATTAGCCGTTCTAAGAATCAAAGAGAACTGTTATAACTGATCTGTTGTCACTTGATCTAAGTGTCAGGTCAAAGGTAGAAATTCCTACATACTTTTCGAATGTCTGAGGGAGTTCTTGTGTAGTCGTCACCCCAGTCAGTTGTATCCGAGAGTGAATAAAATCTGATTTTTCTGATATTTCCCATAAGGAACAAACTTCAATTATTATTAGTATGTAAATTTTGAAGAGAAAAGATTAATTATAAATGAGTCATTTATAGGGTTTATTGAAGCAACTGATGTGACTGGAGAAGGACTAGCAAAAAGTCTATTGAAAACATTAAGTGAGCTTGATTTAGATATGAATTGTACAGGGC